TTGTGCTCAGTGACCACGCCCAGCCCTCCTTCCACCCCTGCCTCACTTACCCAGCGCCCACTCTCCACCTTCCTCTGCTGAGCCAGACACCGCAGACGTTTTCTTCCAACATGCTGTTGGGTTTTTGTTTTTTTCTTTTAATTGTTCACTAGGTGAATTTCTATAGAACAGATCATCGTTTTCATTCACTGACCATTCAGACACCTTTCTTTTCAACTCATCTTGCAATCCCTCTGTGCACCAGGCCTCCTCCCACCTCCTCCCTGTGTTCCCCTCCTCCTCCCTTCCTGCCCTTTTGAACTTTGTCCTTTTGTAAATACTGCCTTTCCATCTTCAGTGAGTGATTAAAATAACACCGGAGCGAGTCTGTAACGGAGGACCATACTCTTGGGAGGCACATGCGTCTCTACACAACCAGCAAGCCTCATCTCTTTCATGATAGTAAATTTTGTTCCAACAGATTTCTTCTCTCTCGGGAAATGGCATCTCCAATTTTGCATGTGCCCAAGCCAAAATTATCAAAAGCGTCCTCAATTCCTCTGTCTGCATGCACGGCGTCATCCGGTATGTAAGCTCGGCTGCTAAGTGGACCTCACGGCCAGCGTGCGTCTTGTCTAGATCAGGAAGGGCCTCCGCAGCCTCGCTTCTACTAGCCGGGCTTGGTTGCTCTTTGGCAGTGTGCCCTAGTGGTTTCCTCATTTGCAAAGCTAGCATGGTAGTAGGACATATCGACGAAGGCTTCTATGAGTTTTCCGAGAGGCAGTCTAGGTACAGTGATTCGGACTGTGGGTGGCACAGGGTAAGAGGTCGGCCTGCCCCTCCTGCTGCTTCTAACACTTGTCCCGCAGGCAGCTCCATCTTCAGGGCTGTGGCCATGGTGTCTGCTTCCCAGGCAGCCGAGCAGAGGAAGTCTTTCTGAAGATACTTCCTGGAAACATCACAGGCACGCACATCTGCTTAAGCACAAAGGGGTCGCTTGGCCTCACCTCACACACCCACGGTCCTTTCTCGTTGAGCAGCGCCCCACGAGGTCAGCAGTTTGAACCCCGGTTACTCTGTGGGAGGACGATGGTGCTGTCTCCTCCTGAAGAGACTTCGAAGAGTCAGCTCCCCTCTGGTCTATGGGCCTGCTGTGAGTCCGAATGGACCCACTGACAGGAAGGGAAGCCACAGGTCCTTTCTCTGATACTAATCAAAGGGGGCAGCGGGCAGGCAGTGCACTGTGCGTAGGGGTGGGGGGGGGCGACAGTAGGAAGGCCCGTGAGGGGGCGCATACAATGGGAAAGGTCCCACAGCTTCTTGGGGAAGAAAGAACACACCAGGCCAGGGTTGTGGAGAGAGTTCCAAAGTGTGGCCACAGCCAGTGTAAACGTCCTGCCACAGGAAAGGGCGTGGGTAATGTTCGTGACCCTCATTTACCTTGTGCCAAGAGCGGGAGTAGACTGGATTCGCTGTCCTCCAGACCCCCCAACTAAGGAGCAGGGCCCGCATTCCCCATCCTCCATTTCTCTGATGAGCTATCCCCCCACAGAGAGAGTTTGCACACTCTTCAGGAGCTTGTGCTGATAGGAGCACTGCTTGGTCTGTGTGAGCAAGAGCGTGGCAAGCCTTATAGTTGGCACGGGGGTGGAGGCAGCACAGAGACCTGACTTCAACCTTGAGCTGGGTAACCTTGGCAAAGCACTTAGCCATTCTGAGCAGCGCCAGTTTCTTTCTTTGTAAACTTGGGACAGTGCTAATCCCTAACCCAGGGAGCTGTTATGGGCACCCAGAGAAATGAGATGAGTAAAGCTTCCTGCCGCCGTGCACATTCTGTGAACAGATGTCACCTCCGTGGATATCACCCTCGTCCTCCTCCTCATTCTCCCGGGTGCCTCTGACTCATTTCCCGTCTTCCCCGTGATCAGATGCTGAGATACTGAGGACCCCAAAGAATGCGCAGCCCCAGCGCGGGCCACAACTGGTCCTCCTCTTACTCCTCGTCCCCAGAGAGTCTTTCCTCCACCTTTTCTTGTAATTGGCCCAGGCCCCGTACAGCTGGGTAGAGAACCATGCCGTCAAGTGGTGGTGGTTCTGTAAGGAAGCAAAGGCTGCCTGGTCCAGGTGCCTTGAGAAATTAGTGAGGAAACGGAGCTTGAGAGGTGGAGCCTGGCTGAAAATGTGGCTTCGAAGTAGAAAAGCTATCGAGAAAAGAGAGTGGAGAGAAAGAGTAATGGCCTCACCTTGCTCACATATCCTAAAGTGCATAGCAGGCATGGGGAACCCCAAAGATTTCAATCTGTCCTTTGGTAGAGATAATGTCTTTTTCTCTGGAAAGCAGTCGCCTTAGGTCAGAGGGCGCCCCATAGATTCAAGACACATATCCCAATAGTCTTACCTTGGCATCAGTTCAGAGGATACTCAAGGGAGCAGTTACCTTCTTTGACTAGTGGAGCACTAGTCACAGCTCACAGAATCACAAGCATGCACACAGTTCTCACGGGGCAGGTGATCAAGAAAGCAATGCCAAACACTTACATTACACGAAGAAAAGGTATCCTTGGACCTTTAGACACCATTCGACGTCATCAAGTCCAGCCCGGTGGCCAGCAGGCCTGGTTCTCCCCCAGGGCTGTCCCGTGTGCCAGTCATGGATGCGTGTGAAGGATGTGTCCGGGGAGTAGTTCCCGAGCTGTTGTGTCTGTGGTGGCAGACGATCGATCCAACTTTGTTTTGTTCTATTCTGAACCTCTTGCGCATGGGTCCAGCCTGTTTAGGGCCTTGAGAGCGGTCATTTCTGCTCCTTCCAAGCGCCAGGAGGAGAGTTGCTCTTTGTTCTCATGAGCTATTTTTTGAGGAAAAGAGATGTTTTGTGGAGAGTTTGGGGGCATTCTTAAACAGGAGACATCACCACAAAGCCCTACTCTCTCATTTTCCTTCCCAAGATTCTTCTCATGTGTTACAATGCTGAGTCCAGGGAGGTGTTTCCTGCTTGGCCAACATAAAAGTGAGAGAGAGAGAGAGAGAGAGAGAGAGAGAGAGAGAGAGAGGCAGGCAGGCACCTCTCCTCCCAGAGAGCCCTGCCAAGTCTGGCGGTTTGTGCAGGACCTCACTTTTTTAAATTTGTTTTCCAGTTCATCACGCATGTCGCCCCACAGCCCTCTGCTCATTGCCTGGGTCACAAGCTGTGATCCAGTACAAATGCTTTCCTAAGGAAACATACGTTTCTCATTCCGTAAGGCTGGTGGCTCCCAGGCTTTTTTCAATGCGTGAAAAGACACTTCATATTTAAGAAAACATTCTGTGATTCCTCATTTTAGATTCACTTTCTCACCTCTTGATACATTTTGGGTGAGCTCTGGAGAAGCATCAGAGAGACGCAGTGAGATTCCTTTCTGAACAGCGACAGCCACAGCTCTGTGGAAGGAACCAGGGAAACAAGGAACAGCAAGCTGCACCCTCGTCCTAGAGGAGGCGCTGCTGGCTTTAGGAGCACTGGGCACCGAGTGGGGGAGATTGGGTCTGCCCACCCTGCAGCAGAGCATTCTGGAGACATCATCTTTGGGACTCAGGGCTCACTGGGTTCTTGGGCTTATCCATTCTCCCCCTGGCTGGAAGCAGAGGGTCAAGAACGCACAGTCTTCATGCCAGTGAAGAGCCTGCTTTGCTGGCTTAAAAGATGAGGGAAGACAGTATTCAAATACGTTGTCTGTTTGGTTGTTGTGCATTTTCCAGCATGTAGGATGATGTTCTAATCTCTAGAGAGTCAGGGTATGAAGTCTCCTGTCACAGTTTTCAAATGTTTACGGCCTTGATTACTCTGTGAATAGAATTTACATAATCTAAGTCAGGTGACCCAGCTCTGTAGTTTATTATCTGTGAGACATTGTACGATTACCTGACCTCTGAGTCAGGTACTGGTTTTTATCTGTGAAATGGAATAGTCAGAGTCTCTCTTACTGGGCTGCTGTCATTTAATGAGAGAAAGCTTAGCCCTGAGCCTGATATCAAGTTCACATTTGGTAAACGGTGGTCTCTAGGATGAGAAAAAGTCATGGTAATGACTTATTTCCTGAATTTGATATTTAATGCATAGATACTGTTAATTACATTCTGGAAAAATGCTTTTCTAAACAGGGCATGCTATAATGGCAGTCATAACGACGTGCTGTGTGGTATTAACCACATCCTAAGAGTCTCTTTTATTTAGAAATAAAGACAAATATGCCTGATATATGGCCATCTGTTCCCACATACCTGTAATTTCAGTTCATTGCCTGTGGCATTGCGAAAGACATTGTGTCTTATTCTATGGACTGACGGACTACCTTCCCATTGTTCTTAAAACATCAGCTTTACTTTAAACGTACAAATCCTTGTGCGTGTTTCCTTAAGCCCCAATAAAGGGGAGGATTATAGGCCACTGTCAAAGAAAATGTGACTTTGAAATCAGGATATTCTTCTAACAGTCTTGCTTTTACGTGGCCTGGCATCTCCCCCTTAGCACTAGTGACATGTGAGTTGGGTCGTGCTTGGTTTGGGGGAGCTCTGCTCTGCACTGTGGGACACCTGGTGGCATCCCCGGCCTCTACTCCTAAAAGAAGCCAGCACCAACCCTTCCGCCATCTCCTGGCTCGGACAGCCAGCGGTGTCCACCGTCAGTCCATCGCACCCAGTGGTGAGCTACTGGCCTACAGAAAGAGGGAAGGGGATTGTGGGATTGTGCTCTTTGGCTCACTGGACAGACGCAGGAGGTTGCCACTTGGCCTGGGACATGACAAGTCCCAATACAATACAACACACCACTGCCACACTCCGAGCTTCTCTGTGGCTCCCGCAGATCCCGACCATGGCGCAGGAAGCCAGCCCCGCAGCATTACTTTGGGGAAGAGCGCTAGTTTATTTCCCTAGATTTTGCCCCGTGGTGGTTTTCCAGGGGCCACCTAATGAAATTTCACAGGTCAAACTAACGTCTGATGTAATGACTGCTTCTTTCTGTTCTTTTATTCCTTATTTTCCAGCTCCCCCAGGCACAAAAGGTAAACGCTTTTACATCTCATCCTGGTCCCCCCAGCCCACAGGTGTGCATGTCGCCATAGTGTTGCATATTGGGCACCGTGCTTGACGAGTGAAACGGTCTCGCACACTGCTTCAGAACCCTGAAGTGGGGCAAGAACAGAGAGGTCCACCGACTCACCCTCCCCCCTGCCCGCCCCCCCAGCCAGCCTGGTCCTACCAGTGACGCCCTGTGGCCCCTGGTCTGTGGGCCGGTCCATGCCCGCAATGTAGCTGATACGATTTCTCAAGTAATAAGTCACGAGCAAGTTTGCAACATGCCTTCAGGCATAGAATCCAGGGCCTTGCCTGGGCTAATGACCTGGGCAGGCAGGCGGAGGGAGTGTGGCCAAATTTAGACCCCAGGCTCCTCTGCCAAACCTTCCCCAAACTCCCCTGGGTCAGTCATTGCCAGTGCAGCTGCTCTGCTGCCGCTCCCACCTCCCGGGTGACCTCAGAGACCACTCTTGGGTGGAGAAGCGTTCTTGTCCCGGCCAGACCCTTTCACTGGTGCGCATTGTCTGTCTGCGATGACCTGGCTCCACCGTCGAAGTGTTCTCTGTCCGTGTGGTTGCCGTGCTGGTTGCTGTCGTCACCATGGCGTGTCACTGTCTCTTGAGGACAGTCACAGCACTACACCTTGTCATGTGATGCCTGCTGCCTTGTTCTTGGTGTGTTTTACGCACTCCAGCAAGACTCCCAGGAGACACAGTGGTTTCTGGGGGACACGTGCAGGCTGGCCACGTGGAGGGAGGGCACCCTCACGAAACTGATGCCGTTCCCCCCACACTTGCGGTCTGGAACCGGGAGGATCGGTGCCTTCATGTTTCCTTCCACAAGAGCAGTCAGTACACAGTGGCCAGGGATCTCTCCACTAGCTCTATGAGGCGAGCCCTGCCGGTGTGGGGAGTGGCCTGCGGCAGTGTTCGATTGCACAGCAGAGCCTCAGGAGAGGGGTGAACACTTCGTGATGAGTTACAGCATGTGAGGAGAGCACACGCGTCAAGGGTAAACCCACAGTCAGACGTCCAGACGGTTTGGAAGGCTCAGCCTCTTTGACAGCAGATGCTTCCTTGACTGCAAACATTTGAAACTTCTTTGTAAAGAGTCTTAAGCAAAGGTGGTGCCTTCACCCACTGGAATTTATTTCTCAACTTTCCACTGATGGATTTACAAAGCGTTCCTGTTGTAGACGATCCCCCATCAGTGTGAAGTGCCATCAGTCATGGAATTCAGAACAGATCAGCACAGACTAAGGTCGTAAGCGTTGCAGCTGGGCAGATGTTTGTGTGATTGCACTTGGCTCGTCACACTCTTTCCTTCTGTCAAAATGGACTGACTCGCCGCGTGCCCTAGGCGTGAGGCCATGCTTCTCAGTGTGATCATGCCAACTCCAGGACCAAGGAAGGTACCCCACAGCTTTCTTACCTCTTTTCTGGACTCCGAAAGATGTTAGCTAGCCCGAGGGCCATGCTCTGGAGCTCCTTCATAGCGAGGGTTTCACCTTCTGTTCCCCACCAGGGCTACAGGTGATCTGCTTTGGATTAAGGTAAAGAAAGGTACTTATTTTTAACTAACATTTTATAAAATGTTATAACCTGTATGAAATCTTTTCAGAGACCATTGGGATAGTTTCTGGGCAGTTCTGTTCTTTGGCGAAAGAGTTTGAATGTAAATGTCAAGTTCCCAGGGTGTCTCAAACCAAAAGTATCCACTGCCATAGAGTTCATGCTAACTCAAAGTGACCCTGTAAGACAGGGAAAGACTGCCCCGTGGGTCTCCGAGACTGTCAGTCTTTGCGGGAGTCATGAGCCCCATCTTTGTTCCCTCAAGTGGCTGGTGGTTTCAAAATGCTGACCTTGCAGATGCAGCCCACCTCATGACCACTGTCCCCATAAAGTGTGCAAAGCTGAGGGGAGGCGTGCTGCAGATGGCGTGCATCTTCCTTGGGGTTGCTAGTCCCCACCCGATGACGTCTCTGCATCCCTGTCCCTGCTCCCACTCGCTCCTCTTCACTCTCCAGGATTGTCTGAGTGACCTCGGCAGCGACCTCTGCTAGAAGGATGAGGGCCTCACAGGTGCCAATGACTTTCAACGGCATGTGCTGTCTTACTGCTTGACCAGCTAAGGACTGTGGTGAATTCGAGTCCAGCCCCCTTTTGTGATGGTGGGCAGGTGATTTCACCTCGCTGAACCTAACACACCTGGTTTTCACCACCGGGAGAACGACGCTCCCTGTTGTTCTCAGTGTCGTTCTGAGAGTTCCACCTCTTACTTGTGCCTAGCACAGGTCCTGACACCTGATCCATGTTCACAGCCCAAGGGCCCCGCCACCTGTTGTCACCGTCTGGCCCCTGTTGCTCCCAAGCAGGTTAGGAGAGCAGCCTTGAGGGAGGGGGTGCTAAGCCGAGCCCCGCCCCCCCAGCACTTTCTGGTTCTGACTCATTTGACCCCGCACCCCGCCCCCTAAAAAGGCATTTGGTGACCCTATCTCACCAGAATCTTCGTCTATGAACTGATTGAACCTTTGCACACAGAGCCAGAAAAAAAATGGAAGTTGGCCTTTCAAACCCAACAGAGCAAAGACTTCGGGGCGATACTTTGAACTACTTTCCCCGCTGTCTGTTTCGCCATCTGTGGACATGACTGTAGTGAGCCCCTTCCAAACCTAAGACATGGTTGTGCTGGGGGTAAAGGGAATGATCCTCAGCTCCTTCTCTTTGGCCTGCCTTTCACATGAGGTCATGAGCTCCCACATTGGACCACGTGCGTCGGGATTTGTGCTATGTTTTTGTTGGAATCTGTCTTTGTATCATCTACAACTGCTTTCTCTACAAATATTTTAAGTAGTCATGTCTCTGTAAACATGCTTATTTTCCTCTCTTGGCTGATCTACAACTAAATATGTCCCATTGGAGTGCCCCACTTGTGTGTAGCAGCCATTAATAATTGTTGCTTATAAGGTATGGGTTTCATGACTTTCATGTACTGAGGATCTTCGCAACACATCCTGTAGTCCCTCAGGGCTGTTTTCTGCAACAATGTGTTTGCACATTTTATTTTGTTCTGTTTCACTTGTGTTCCTTATGTACTTCTTAGAGTAGTCCTCCACATGTCTACCTTTTACGTAACCTTGGGCTGGTACCAGCTGGTGGCATCTCCCATGAGTGCTAAGTACTCTCACTAGGGATGCAGTCCTACTTTGAAATCGACGTAGCATCACAGGCCCGTCCTGCGAGCCTTCACAGGACTGTCCTTTTGGGTAGAGAGTCACCTGCTTTCTCCCGTATGTTGAGTGTCTGAATCAGCCCTCACAGAGATATGTTTGTGATGGAGGCTTGTCTTTCTTCCCAGACATGGTCCTTGTTGGCGTCTATCGAAATAGTTGAGAGATCTCTTCCCTACCAATACCAGAGCAGAATTACCAGACACCATTTGAAAGTGTATTTCCAGTGGTCATGGCTGGAAAACCTTTTTTCAGTTTTTCCAAGCTGCAAATTCTAGTAGACTGTCGACAGGAATTAAACAGTGGGTGTTCGCTGAATGGTTAATTTAGTCACTGAAGAGCTTGGTCAGGGGGTTGGCTATTTTAAAGTAAGAAGTACTCTTTGGGTTATTCCAAATTGGGCGCTTTATGAAAGGTAATGTCTCCAGTCTCTGGTACCCACCGCTCCACTCCGCATTGCATTCCTACAGCTTTGGGATTTACCATGTCTATTGCGTGAGGGCTTCGTGGGCTCTCCACACCTTGACCGGCACTGCATTGGTTAAGATCAGCCTCAAAGTGCTGAGCAGGCAAAGCATGTTCTCAAAACCATCGCTAAAGAAAACCATATTGCTCATCCTGTTTGGAACAGCACTGGATGAACTCAGGGCTGCAGAGCCTGGCAAACTGGTCCCTGTAGTTGCTGGACCAGTGTTGTCTCCTGTTGGGAAGAGCTTCCCTTGCCTCCTTGAGCAAGCACAGCGGGCTCTGCGGTCTGTTGTTCTGTGCCTGCTGTTTAACTCACGGGAGGACTCAGGAGGGCATAAACCAGCTTCGGCCAGGCAGGTCGAGTTCTAGAGCATCTTTCAGGCTGGAACTGCTCTGTTAGCATCCCTCCTCCGCTGAGAGGAAATAGCATCCTGGTCCATTGGTATTGTCTTTGTTTCCTTGTGTATATTTGGCAGGTGGGGAGGGATAAATGGAAGTCTGCTTGTGTGTAAAGTTCTTTCGACCCCTTCTTCTCTCTACTCTTCTATTTTTCCCCCCAGGGGGTGGAGGTGGTTTTGTTTTGTCCTCTGGTTACTGCCAGTGGATTTGGGGCTAACTCTTATCTCAGTGTGATCAGCTTTCATCAATGGCAGAGCCTCATTGATCATCCTTTCTCAGTCTGTCCTTTGAAATGCTGAATGCACTGTCATTGCAAAGAAGCCATTAAAAGTCTACACAGTTGCCGTTTTCGTAGAACTTTGGTCAAGTGACTGTAGTGTTTCATGACAGTGACATAACCCACAGAATCAACGGCCACTGAAGGTCAGAACTGAGAGGGAGAGCTGCGTGCTTTTGGTCCTGCTTGGTGACTCATTTGCATTTGCTCGTATTTGCTTTGTGTGCAGACTCCTGGTCTTGCTTTGATGACCCTCCTTTTCCTCTGGGGCGGCCACTTGATAGGCACTTCTGCCGGGCACCTTGAGGTCCACCCCCAAGCGGGGGATATCCAGGTTGGTAGTTTTTACCTCCTGCAAGCTGATAGCAGCCTATGGTTTAAATGAGCAGACCATCTATTTGATCTGCTGATGAAGAAGGCGGGATCCAGAGACACCAGAGTGAGCCCAACTCATCTGCTACTCCAGTGGCCGGTGGGTCCTCGGGAAATCGAGGGTGGTGCATTACACGGCCAAAGTGAGGGTCAAGGCAGGAAGCATGTTGCCCCTGCTCTGGTAGGTCTGTGGGAGCGTGTCTGGGACTGAGGGCGTGGGCAGGCCCTCCTGCTGCCAAGGA